TATATAGACCCCTTCTCGTGAGACCTAGAAGAGATTGATACTGCTGCTCCTCGTGTATGATGGCAAACGTGCCGTCATCACTTCCCACAGAAACAGTTCTTCTCCAGTCATGGAGGCATCCAACCTAGTTGTGACTGCGAACAAAGTTAATCTTTCTCCAGTCGAGGCTCCTCGTGTCGTTTTGCATGTTGTGTGTGAAAGCAGTCGGAGATAGACCCATGTTGTCTTGTACTCTGTTTGCGCCACACCTGATGTCCATTTCCTCTGTTGTCGCATGACAGTCGGTCGTCGGAGTAGCTGACCCCTTCACCCACAGCTGCAGCGAGAGGGCTGGGTAGGAATGGTGGGGGGCGGTTGGGAAAGGCGGAGGGGGGGAGGGGGCCAGGGGGGAGATGGCGGAGGGAGGGCAATTGGGAAACGAGGATGATGGTATAGGCTACCAGAGGAAGGTGGGGTCACTGCAGTGCAGGGGCAGGGGCCATTGTGCGGTCGGGGTCTTGGGAGATCAGCAGGAAGTTAGTCGGAAGGTACAGGACCGCAAAATCATCCAGAGACCTCCTTTGCCATGCGGGCTCGCTCGCCCTCCAATTCACCCATCGTATATTGAGATCATCAGTCAATTCAGAAAAAGCGTTGTGTGGGTCCTGCCAAATTTGACGGTAAGACTCTCGCAAGGCTTCCTTGAGAGTGGGGTCCCTTTCATTTTGGTAGTCCCGTTTCATATCTTTCCAGGCCCGATATGTACTGGATCTGATCTCATCTTCTATCGCTTGTTGTGCTTGCTGCAGGCCGAACTGGTGTTCTTTTCTCTCAAAGGAGCATCTAGCTCGCCATGCTTGCATAAGGACGTGTAGCCTCGTATACGCGAAAAGATTGTTGGCGAATGGTGACTAATGTGCTAACAGATGTTGATTTCTGCCAAGCAAGATGAGGCCCAGGTCCCAAGGGATGTGGTTATCCGTGAGTGAGTGGAATGCTGCGTCCCACCACCTCCATATCTGGGCGGCCATCGGGCATGCCAGTAGGCAATGCTCGAGTGTCGCCCTGGCTGGCTGTGTCGCCCTGCCACAGTAAGTGCAGATGGGGGACAGCAGGCCCCTTTGTTCCAGATCCGTTCTTGAGACGAGCCAGTCGGGGGTGGGGAGACAGCGGTGTAAAATTTGCCATTGCAGGGACCTGAGGTTTGTTGGCATTATTTTAGAGTACTTAACCCAAGGGAGGTTATTGAGCAACTGTGGATCCAGCGGCGAATCACGCTCCCATCTATGTGCAATGGTCTGTCCAATCTGCTGTTGAGGGCTAGCTGCTCTGTACCCCCCTTTAACAGTGTAATCCCAAATATGCATGGTTTGTTGGCCCTCCCATTCCCAGTCGTCCGGATCAAACGGAAGACAGGCAACCGGCGCGGCTGGCTCGAATGCATGGTATCCGTTATCAAGGTCGCCCACGACTCTCACATTCATCAGCCCTGCCCACAGCTCTGTGGTATCCGAGTCTTCATCCCGAGTTAATTGGGAGAGCCGCTTCCCCGGAGCACGCAAGGCAAAAGCTTCCAATGTGCAATTCCCTGCTTCTATGGTGTGCACTTTGTAGACAGTGGCCGGGCTGGGCAAGTCAACATACCTGACCACCCAATCTTGTGGTTGAATCGATGGGCCGGTTTTGAGGGTTTGCCACCAGGCCAGGGGAAGGGCTTCTATGATTTGGCGGGCCTTATCAGCCACGCTCTTTACATGCTTAAGCTTGGTCTGCAGCTGCTGTGGTGTAGCCCAGTTCTGTTCCCTCGGGTCCCAGAGGTCTCCCACCGTATAAATACCTTTTTTCACCCAGGTGAGCCAGGGAGAATTAGTCGTGAGTGGAAGCGGGTTGCCCATTTCGTCCAAGACAAAGGGATTGCCAAACAGGGGCCGTCTCCATATGGAGTGCCATCTGTTAGTTGGAGACTTTTGTTTGGGTCCTTTTTTCCTCCAAAGTTTTAACATGAATGGCCAGAGCGGGTCAAGGGGTATGTCCTGCCTGGTGGCCTGTGCTACACCTGTCGCATGCGTGTGTCGGCGGGGGTTCGGGATTGTCCAGTGGCTATTGGTAAGCCACTGGAGGGGGTGCATTCGGTTAGGAATTTCAGAAAAAGGTGCTAGACCCGCTATTTGCACATAAGCGAAGGGGGCCCAAGGGATGTCATTGCCCACGAGGAGTCTGGTGAGCACTTTGAAGATCATGGCTTCACTTTCCCTTTCAGGATCCAGTATCCCCAGCCCCTGGGCTCTTGGTTGTGTGAGGGTATGCCAGCTTGTACCATATAGCCACGAGGATGGCGTTGTTGATTGCGAGCGCCCGACCGACCAACGACGTATGCAGGCCTTCCCATCGTGTCAGACGGGCAATGGCTGTGTTCACAAGGGTGTCTCCGTGATCTGACGGAGGCCCCATTGTCGTGAGCCTCACTCCCAAAATCCTAATAGCATCTTCTTTTCTGGCCCATGCCACACCTGGTTCCAGTGGCGGGGCCAGATCTTGGGGGTGGAGCCACCAGCCTGCAGTTTTTTAGCCCCAATTCACTTTCACGTCTGCCGCTAGTGAGAAGAGGTGTATGGTGTGGGCGTGCATCCGCCCGTATGAGGGCCGTGAGGTCGTCAGCAAACAGCGACGTCACAGGGATCAAGTGATTCGGAATATCCGGGATAGGCACTTTACTGATTTTCGTGTGGGTTCTAATCAACGCCACGAGGACCTCCATGACTATCAGGAAGAGAAGTGGCGCTATGGGGTCCCCTTGTCGCACCGACCTCTGCAGCGCAATTGGTGGTGAGAGGTGGTCATTTAACATTATGTTTGTAGTGGCCGATCTATGAAAAAGTTGCACCCAGTGGCAGAAACCGGGACCAAAATTCATTCTGATCAGGCACATGTCGAGGAAGTCCCAATCAACGTGGTTATACGCTTTTTCAAAGTCAGTAAACAGAATGACCGCTTGGGCCTTGCGCTGGCGTGTGTTGTAGAGGCCGGTTACTAGGCACACCTTGGTCGCCAGGAGCGGTCAGCGTCCTGAGGGAACAAGGCTCTTCCCATCCCATCCTCACGTCAATACTCCTAGCTCACCCCCTATCTCTACTATCCTACCTCAGTGTGACCAGCACTCAGGACCATTAACCCTACTTGGTATCGAGGGAAACTTGGACCGAACAATAGTGACAGGCACCAGGGCTAGCCCTGACCCAGCCGTGGTGGAAGCGGAATTGAACGAGCCTCGTTGCACGGGAAAACTTCGCACGCCAAGCCCAAGCAATCTCCTACTACCTTCTTCCCCCGAATACAACGTACAGTCATTATAGCTGTATCTAGACTGAAAGACGCCTCAAATACAGCTATAATGACCGTAAGTTGTATTCGGGGGAAGAAGGTAGCCCCTAAGTTGACAAACTGGTAACTCACGCCCTCTACTCGCCCACCACAGTCCTAGCTGATTTTAAGGTGGGGTACTTATCCTCTAAACGCCTATCATCATCATCGGTTAATCCAGACCAACCAGTGGCTCACGCCCTCTACTCGCCCACCACAGCCCTAGTCTGCCCCACACAGTCTAGCTGATTTTAAGGGGGGTACTTAGTCATCGAAACGCCTATCATCATCACTAGTTGATCCAGAACATCCAGTGACTCATGCCCTCTACTTACCCACAGACCTAGCTGATGTTAAGGGGGATACTTATCATCGAACGCCTATCGTCATTATCAGTTGATCATGACCTCCTCCCAGCCCTATGGTTGTGTATGTATGTATGGTTGTGTATATATGTGTATGTACTCTGTATCATAGATGTGTGCCTGTGGGCTCTATGTATGGTTGTATGCTGCTCCCCACCATGGAGCATCTGCGAAGTGAGTACTGACTACTGGTGAGAGGTGCTCTTACCTCACCTCCACAAGTACATGTGTGTGTGTGTACCTTGAGCTATATATATATATATATCTGTCTCTTATACACATCTAGATGTGTATAAGAGACAGGGCGTGGCCGAGGAGCTAAAGGAGAGGATGCCCGCCTGGGCC